CATCGCCACCGAACGCGGCGGCGAAGTCGGCGTGCAGCAGCGCAAACTCGGAGAACGCGACAAACACACGCACGCCGTCGTGCGACGCCACGTGCCGCGCCACCGCAGCGACGTCGCCGGCCGCAAGGCCCGCCACGAACACGTCGCCCGCCTCCGGCAGGTGCCCCGCCAGCGCGTCGCCGCCGGCCAGCAGCGTCGCGGACCGCAGCGACCCGCCAAACGTCACCAGCGACCGCCGCAGCACCTCCGCCACCGCCGCCGCCTCCTCGCCGCGGATCACCGCGTGCGCCGCGCGGAAACCCGCGTCTCGGAGGTACTCCGCCAGCACGAAGAACTGCTGCTCCAGCGTCGGCGACACGTGGATCACGTGCCGGCGGAACCTGTTCAGCCGCGGCTCGAGCTGCAGCGGGTCGATGAAGGCCACACCCTCCACGCCCAGCACCGCCTCCGTCACAACACCCACAACCCCATGAACGTGCCGTGATTGCAGCTCCGACTGCAGGACTTCACGGGCATCAGCAAGAGCAGAGGGAAGAGGGGCCACACTGATCTGATTTTCCCCCCAGGAGGTCTCATGGCGTGAATATGCCAGAGCAGCCCCGAGGACCAACTCCGCAGAGGCACGCTGTGCAACAGCGCTGTCATTCATTATAAAGGCCGCCCCACTGAACACCGGAGGCACCTGCGTGCTCGAAACATTGCAATCTGACAGCCGAAACGTCATGAGGCCCTTATCAACCACCTCCGCACGGAAGTCCTCCACGAACCGCTTCATGTACACCGTGCGGCCGCCCTGGTTGCAGCGGCAGGTGGCGCCCTGTGACGCAGCCGCGCCGTGGCACTCGCCACCGAAGTCGCCGATCACAAGGTCGTCGATTAAATACCGGCGTTGGTTGAAGATAGACTCCATGAACGACTTGCGGTCCCTCACCCCTTTACAGTCCCTCAGCGCCCGCGCCAGCACCTCGCCGGCAATCCACCCATCCACCATCAGCTCCCCGTCGTTGTCATTGTTGAGGAAATGCTCCGTGTCCTTGTAGTCCTTCTGCCCGATGCTCTTCAGGTAATCCCGCATCGCCCCCTGGAAGCGACGGATGGCGTCGTACCTTGCGTCCTTCGCCAGCGGGTTC